GTTGTTTCTGTTATCGCTATAACGACAGATTATCAAAGAATATTGATAGACGACRAACGATTAATCTAAAAATACAAAATACACAATTCAGATAATTTAGATTACGCCCCCCTTTTGTAATGAAGTGCCCCCCAATTAAGCTTGTAACTTCCATTGCCCCCCTGGATATCTCTAGCGCCCCCGAGGGGGCAAAATCACCCACTTTGGGAAACACTGGTGTAAACAGTATTGCAAACATTTTTTTATCTGTTTGCTCTACAGTCATATTTTTTTCTATACTTTGAATTTCCATCTTTTAAAAGAGCACATTGTTCATTAATAGCCACATCATTCATGATGCTACAAGGCACAGTTAATCGTTGTAATATTGATCAAGCATAATTAAGTTTTATATCACTATGATACATTTTTGTTATTTTTGCAGGCTAACAAGAATCATCAAACTGAATCATCTAATAGATATGAGGTATAATTATAATATTATATTTAATTTATAAATCTTTCATCTATTTTAATTGAGTTTACTGAACATAGATTTCAATTTTTTATTTTTTTGAAGGATTCAGAAGTTCTTTTTCCTCCACCCCCACCACCACCAGACAGTATAAAAAATTTGCCTAAGACCGAGAGAGAAGCTCTCACATCAATGCTTATGTCATATTATATGAGTGGATTTCATACAGGTTTGTTTGTTGAATTATTTCTTGCCTAAAYATATTTATTATATTAGTTTATTAGTATTATATATCATTATTATTAACTTTTGGATCAAAGCCCATATTACAGTCAACAGTGTTACATTGTTCTTTAATGTTTTTCAAATTTTTGATCGAACAGATAATAGGTTTTCTACTTTTTATAGTTTATTCACATTAAAATTAAACATTTCGTAAAATCAGTACATCTATTATTCCACTAAAAATTAAAAATTTATGTTTTGTCATTCTAAAAATTATATTGAAATTTAAAAATGATAAAAATTATGTTTACAGTAAAAACTTCTTCAGATAATAATCATAAATGTTTAAATTGATAAAAGTGTATGTAAATGATATTCAGTATCTTCTTAAGGTTTTGAAACAGATTGGTTATTACTTATTACTTATTTTATTTGTATTTTATTTTACCTTTTTTAAAAGTATATTTTTACATGAAAAACCATTTTAAGATAATCAATAAAAAAAAAGTATTCTTTTATAATTGTCCAAAAGAAGTTGCATGAATAATAACTAAACATTTAACAAATCAATGGTGTGTAAATGATCCCTTAAATATAATCTAGTGACTCATTATTGGTAGATTAATAAATTCTCCATGCAACACCACAAATTAATAAATTTTAGAAAATTAAAAAAAAAATTTTTAATTTAGGTTTCAATGGATTATTCAACATTTTAACATTTTATTYATCAGTAATAATTTAATTTCAATAAATGATTTTTTCAATGGCCATTGACTAATGCTGTCTTAATAGAGTTAAATATACCTAATATTTTCTTGTATTTCAACTTTTAAGCATAATATGTTTTAACTATAATACATACACATAATTTAAAGCAATGATATAGCCGGAGATATGGCCCACCATTGGAATTTTTTATTGATGATGTCTAACCATGGTTATAGCCTTTATAGGTAATAACATAATATAGTATTTAAATAACCATTTTAATTGAGCTCCAGATACACTACTGCTTTAAAATAATAAAATTATTTTTAATTTATGTCTTTTATTTAAATATATTTCAGGATATTATCTTGGAATGAAACAAAATAATTCTAAAAATTGATGTTACATTATTCATTCCTAATTACTGAATTGGTGAACATATATATTAAAAGTGAAAAAAATTTTGCTTGCATCTGATAACATTTTTGATATTGTTTTGTATTATATAATTTAAATATGGTAATATGTACAACTGTAATAATATAATTTTTTCTTATTATATTAAATCTATTGGATTGCCAAAACCTTATTGATGAACTAAACTTTTATGTTTTGATTATTTAATTAATTTATTATAGTTAAATCATCCAACATCCTATGTTATTGTCCGGCTGTCTTATTTAACCTGAACCAGCTTTTATATAATGTACTACTTGCTTGCATCTATACCTACTAAACTAGAGTAATTGATTTACTGAATAAGATTAAAATATAAGACATAATATGAGAAGTAGAATAAGGAACATAGAAGAAGTCTCTAAAAAGATTGTGACTTTGTAAGTAACAATCAGGTAATCCATGGAATGGCAATATTAAATACTAGTGAACTCTTCCAAATAATCTCTCAAATATCGGTGCCAGACACAAGAAAAATAAGACAAAGTTTAGTATGGAATATATTTWAAAAAATTGTTTATTCTTTTCAAAATAGTAATACTAGTCAGTTTTTATTCTAATGATTCATAATAATATATCTTTATATAAATAGTTCAGTGTCCATTAAGATAAATTAGAATTTGATACAATTATTAATGAAGGTACACATATTATAAAATGAATATAAGATGTAACCTAATCTGTTACCTTTTATCACATATTGTGTCCAAATTACGGATATCCATGGTATAGGCTTTGTGTCGTTCACTCGTACATTTGGAGAATAGACAACAATAACATAAATTGTGTTGCAAGTTAAGAAGACACCACACCCGCATGTGTCGTTTCCGTCTTACAGAACTACAAAAAGTTATTCATGCTTAAAAAACACAAAAATAATGTACCTATTATGATCAATAAGAATTTTTTTTGTATAAGTGATATCAAAAAAATAACAACGATATTCCATAAACAAAATTCTCCTTTTTATATGATGAAAATTTCGTTTCTTAGTTATAACTGTATAACTTTTGTTCTGTCTCTCGCAAAATAGTTTTTGTTATGTTACCTAGTACATACGTATTTGTAGGACGGAGAAAATACATGCAAGTGTAGTGTCCCCTTAACAATACTTATTAATACCAGAGTTGAGATGTTTTAAACATTTTGTTTTAAACACTTGTTTAAAACATGTTTAAAATATCTAAATTAATCAAACATGGTTTTATTTAAAACGTTTAAAACAAATGATTTAAACATCATAAAAAAAAAACAATTGTTTAAAACAGAAAAATATAATTGATAATTCATGATAATTTATATAATTTAAATTGGAAATAAATAAACAATTTAAACAAAATAAAGATGAATAAAATTGACAATTATGTCTTATATATTGTATTATTATTTATTAATATAACTTGAAATAACATTTCATAACAAATCTTCTAATTAATATAAAATGACATAGGTAAGAATAAATAACATAATAATTAATAATTAGTTATCCTCCAACAAAAATAAAAATAAAAATTATAGCTGTACTAATTCTAATGGTATCCAATGTAAGTAGACATCAGAATGTCGCATCGTGTTAGGTTATATTATTGGTAACTGACATATTTTAAGTGGACAAATACCAATAAATGAATAGAGTATACAATTTTCTAATTGTTACTTATACAGAGTGTTTCACGATGAACTGACAATTGCAATAACATTAATAACATTTGATCTATTTAACATTTTTTACATTTTTTTTTTTTTTTAAATATAAATTGTCGTCTGCGCTACTTTTAAAATATTTTTCGATTTTTTTTTTAAACATTTTGTATGTAAAATTAAAAATTAAAAAATTTGGTATTTTATAGTTAAAAAAATCAAGATAGCTATTTTGTAAATTCGATTTTTAGAAAAAATATGGTGTTCAAAAATTTTACTAAGGTTGAATCAATAATTTTTAAAGTTTGTTAAAATTCAAATTTATTTCTTATTTATCAGTATTACAACGATTATCGATTTTGAATTATTTTTTTCCAAGAAATTTGGTATCACCAATAATAAAAAAATATGATACTAAACAGTAATACAATATTAGGTACAATTGGTACAATATGTACAATCAACACGTACGTATGCGAACACCACTTGATTCATATTTCGATGCTTGTCAAGGAAATATTATTTGGTGTTAACACGTTAAGTGCTTATAAAATAATAATTTATGCGTAATAATATATATTATCAATATCAATTATAAGTATACAACAATAATATGATCATTGAATATTATTCAAAAATGACTGACCAGTTACCACCTCCATATGMGMTGGACTTCAATATTACTGTAATAATTTTGACAGTTATTCATCCAGCAAATGAATGTAAATTTCATTAGCGAAATTCATATTTTGTTTTAAACATGATTTCATCGTTTTAAACGATTAAACAGTTTTTTTWATTTTTTTTTAAAAATCATGGTTTTTATCAACTCTGATCAATACTGTAGTATTTTTATTTACATTATTATTATTTCGATTCATATTTTTTTAATTTTGATACACACTCTGTTTAGTATAAAATACCATAATCCATAACATTTTATTTAGGAGAAATATCCCGAATCTTCGGGGAGGATGGCTTAAAAACAGCACAGTGTTGATGAATTGGAAATTGCATTCACCATAATATTACAAGCGGAAGATCTATAAGATCTGTCAGTCGTGTGACTTAAATATCCCAGCCAGCGTGATACAAAGGTTATAAAACAAACCCACATTTTGTCCCGAAAAAATTAGGTCAGATTAGTTTGCCAGAAGACGTGAAAAAGCTTTGGTGGAAAATATTTAAAAATATTCGAATTGGGGTTATCCTATTACGGAATTCGAACTCAGAATGTTTGTAAAATACCATATTGATAGAATAGAAACGAAAATAACCAAGTTTAAAGATAATCGACTTGGATACGGTTGGGCGTAATTATTCTTTAAGAGACATAAGCAGGAAAGAAAGAAAGTGCCAAAATATTAAACGAAGTTGTGCTGCAATCACTAATTAAATGATAAACGATTATTTTAATAATTTTACGCCATATTTAAAAGACGTTTCACAGATTTAATCATAAACTATGATGAAATCAATTTGTCAGATGATCCGGGACGTAAATAACGCATAATAAAGAGAGGTACCTACTATAAATGCCCAGAAAGGATTAGGAATTTTACAAAATCAGCCACCTCTGTTATTTTGCTGCTGCCATATAAAAATATTTAGAAATGTTCTTTAGAATTTTTTTTTAAACAAATTTTTTGACCCTCACTTACYTATTAGGAATTAAATGGATTTTACTTTATATACGTGTGTGTATTTGGTATGAGTATGTCAGTAATTACTTTTATATAATATACATATATATTTTTATGTGTTTATAAATACACTTAACTTTTCAATATTGTATGTAATTGTTATTTTATTACAATTTGTTTTTACATATTGTTTACATGATTTTTTGTTTAGACAACTTTTAATTATAATCAAAGTATAATGTAAGTTAATTTATACTAAGCTGGTATCTTATAGCTGATTTGCACGTACGAGGGAGAAAACAAAATAGCTTGCATAATAATTATTATATAAATTAATAATAATTATTAATACACACTATAGCCGATTCGTTCGCTCGCGTTCGAGTTTTCAAAAACGCTGTGATTTAAAATAGCGAACGCATCATAATATGTACACACTACTACTACACTAGGTGATTCGAACGCAGCTAAATTCAAATAAATGAGCGCGCCAAAATTGTTTTCAAATCAAAATTAGTATTGCTCGTATTGTCGTTTAACGCAGACGCCTGTTGTAGACGTATTTCAATATGGAGATTTTAGACGATATCGATGCAGCGTGTGTTCTTTATGCATTATACGAAAATAATAAATTAAATTAAAAATGAAAACCGAAAAAACAGAGACGCCAATGGGTACATCCGCTGAACCTTAAACGTCCACATGCAAGAAGGACAATTTCAGGTCACATTCATGACATTACGCAGTTATCCAGAAGAGTTTGTTAAGTATTACCGAATGTCAATTGCATCATTTGATGAGCTGGTAAGAACATTTATATAATTTATTAGCCGTATTGATTTTTTATATTCATATAATTCTATATAGCTCCTATAGCTATAGCCGATATTGATGATATATGTGAAAAGCAAAAGTATTCTCTGGCTTCCTGTGCTATAACTATTTTTTTGTGAGACTGTGCATTTCATATTTTCACTAGCGATATAATATATAATATACGTAATAATATGTATTGTAGCTTTTTAATTCATATATTAATTTTTACACACACACGCGTCATTTGCTATATATTCTAATAAGGTTCTTCATTTTTCCATATACCTACCTATTTATTACCTATACGGTACAATATTAACCTTTATCATCCAAATATAGTTATCAGTCATTTATATATCAAGTTAAATCATTAAATTGTCATGTTTTTTTACACAGCAAATGTTAATTCTAGTGAGAGTAACAATAATAGAAAAAAAACTAAAAAAATTGAAAACTTAAAATGTCCGTAAACAGTTTAAAACGAGTCAAAAAATATTTAAAAAATGATATAGACACAACACACCACTAAAAAAAATAAAAAAACACATATCATTGTAACATGCATATATTATACATGAATACATTCATCGCTCTGCTCAGAGTCTAAAAAATAGTTTATCACAAAGTAACAAGTTATTTATGAGTGTTTAAATCTAAAATTTTCTTAAGGCTATATTTCTCCCGATTCTAATCTTCTCAACTCCCGTTTCATCCCTATCATCTGTTCTCTTATCCAATTCATTCATACCGCTGGCTTTCTCATTTAATGCTAATATTTAATTATATTGTCTGTGTTTTGTTTTGATACATAATTATTTTGTAATCGCTTTGCTATAATTATTTTTTAATAAAATCCAAATTAAAAAAAAAATCTAAAATTTTTGCGATATTGAATTTTCATTGGAAATTCATAATGTAATAATTTTACATGTGTGTTTTTTTATATTTAATTATTTTTTGTGTTTGTCATCACCTTTTAGGACAGTCAAAATTATAAGATTTTCTTCAACAGTATCTTCACAGTTACTTTTTTAAAGCATTTCAAGTTCAAACTTTGACAAAATATTGAAATCATTAACTACCAGTTAGGTTAATCTTTAATGGATTCATTTCTTATTTTGTAATTAATTATAAATTATGCTTACACATGATTTTGCATTGTGGGTCGTAAAAACTCCAATATGTTACCTTGAACATTTTTTTTTTTCATTTGCTTAACCAGGTTTTGTAACGCATTTCTTCAATAACTATATCTCTGAATGATTTCCATTTTTTTTTTTGTAACTCCTGGACTGTAGATATACCTATATAAATATTGATTTAATTTTAATATAACAGTTAATTATTTATTATTTAAATTAAATAGTTTTTAACTTTTTAATAAGTATTATTTTTATATTAAAACATATTATATATATTTTTTTGAAATTATTTGAGTTATCGTATTTAGATATTTGTCGACGGGGACGAATTTCTCTGCGCACTTCATTTTGATTTTATGATGGGCGTGTTATCAATAGCGAAAAATGAAAATCATACAAGAAACATGCGAAGCGATATGAAATTATGGACACATCTATACAACCCATAGAAATGGCTGCTCCAACAGAATAAGATTGACTAGGAATATCAGAAGGATTTTATAGTTTTACACTAATTCTCAGTTCCTGTGCTGTGTTGGTGCCGTGGACGGGAAACATATTAGATTACAATGTCTCCCGAATAGTGGTACCTTATATCATAATTACAAACATTTTTTTTTCTTTAATACTCATGGCTATTTGTGATGCRAATTACTGCTTCAGAGTTATAGATGTTGAGTCATATGGGAAAGAAAGTGATTGCAACAATTTCAAAATATCCATATTCGGATATTCGGTAAAAAATTATACAATAATAAAATTTTCTTTCCACAACCTCGTTGTTTGCCGAAAGATGAACAAGGCATACGGTATGCCGCATACCTCAATCGTTTACTGTAGTTGGAGATGAAGAATTCGCTTTACATATAGGTAAAAATCTTTTATGGCCTTTCCCTGGAAAAAGTGGACAAAATATCGAATGTTCATTCGATATACTTTTTAATAAATGGAGAGTATTTCATACCACTTTATTAGTTGRACCGAGTTTGCAATAACAAATGTGGCTTGTGTTTTGCACTGCAATTTTGTCAGACGAAGAGATGGGTACAACTCTGCAGAGGATGCTCAGACTTGTAACATGGAAAATATAGCGCGGAAGAAATGGAGTAGGCAATTCAACATCTAATGCAAAAAAGATGTGAGAGAATATTTTGTTAATTATTTCAACAACCCAGCTTATGAATTTAGTTGGCAAAACAGGGTGATATGATATTAATGTATTATGAAAATTGAAAGTGTGTGGTACATAATAATACTTAAGCATATTAATTATTATTATAGTTTTATATTAAATATTTGCATATTTTAATTCGTAATATTACTTATTAGTGTGTAAAAATACAGTTTAATAATATTAAATAAGTTAATCAAATTCTAATGAACAAATAAAATTATATTAATCGCTTACTTTTTGCCTTTTTCTTATTATTTTCTTCAATTGTTTCAAAATCCTCAAAAAACTTTTTGGCTATTTTAGTCCAGCTGACATGTTTAGCAACTTTGTCATGGTATAATTTTGATTCTATATAAATYGGTACGTATTAATATAATATATATTTAATAATCATTCAAAATAATTGAAATAGGTGTAGGTATAGCTATCATTTATATAGATAATAGGTACCTATCTATTAACCAGTTTTATGCAAAATACCTGATGAAAATAATGAACGTAAGTTAGTTAATTTAAATTATAACATTAAATTCACATTGGAAAAATGGTACATTATACTATACATAATTACATTGCTAAAGTCTCCGAATCTCGAAAAAWTTATTCAACTTCATATACATATTTAAGTGGATTACACAATAGGCAATTCGAACGCGCATCTCTATGCGTTTTGAACGTGACGATTTAATCGCTTAAAATAAAACGGCCGTTTTAGTATGGCTATATAGATGTTGAGTGATGCTTTAGTTTATAAATTACTTTAATGAATGTGTAGAATTTGAATTCAATGATAAATCGTTACATACAAAAATCGATTCTGAGCTGTGAGAGCGTATAATATATAACTTAATTAAAATACTTATAATATTGTATTCATATTATTCTTTAAAACAGCAATAATAAGCATTTAAGTAYAAAAAAATGTATTTATTAAATTCGAKTATATCTTTTTATACCGAATAAAAATAATGGCAATAATTGTATACAATTGAGAAATATAATAAATATGAAATTATGAAAGACATTGCCACATTAGACTATAATATGAGTGATTAGAAAGCCAGTAGGTACAGTGAATCTCATTTTTTATTAGTGTATAGTCATATAGTTGATTAATAAATTATATTTACATAGTAAATTATCAAATGACACTTTAAACTTTAAAGCACCTACTATTATACTTCACTATATCAGTTCTTCCCATGTTAGTAACTGTCRTAAATCGTTTTTAAGCGGGTAAAAGTAGTCGGTATAGTCTTTATTTTATCCGCTAAAAGCACTACAGTCTTCAAAACAGCTAGATTCATATTATCTTAAAATCGTGGTTACCCTTACCCGGCCATTATCGGAGAATGTAGGTAAAGCTGATGTATGATAAAAAACATAATTAAATAAAATATAAATTAATCATAAATGATAAATCATAATTCTTGATTGTAGATATAACTATTATACAACTTAAAAGTTCAAGCATAAATTATTTAATACAAATTTTATATCTCATGCTTCATAATGATTAATWAACTTTTACTATATATATTATAAATCTTTTCGAAAAATCGACCAGGCAACATTATTCGCCAAGTGAACTTGCTTTTTCGTAATACATACCTATAAGCTTTATGTGAGATTTAAAATACCACACACAAAATAAAAATAAAATTTGATCAGTGTTTTAAAAGTGTYTACAACATTAATTTTGTGATTTTTAAAAATTTCTATCAGTCATGTCATATTTTTGTTCTAGAAGAATTTTCCAACGAGTAAATAAAATCAGATTTCCAATTATTCAACTATGTTTTTAATTGTATATAAATATGACTATTTTCTTTATAGTTCCAACTCAATCAAATAAAAAAATTCAACATAAGTAATGTCTCAGGAGGTCCAAATAAACATGTAGAATTTCCAAAACGTAATAAAAGAATATTTGGAAAAGATGGTCCAATTACGTGGAAAACTGTAGGAATTACTGGAGTTTTGGGAGCGGGTATGGTTACATACTTGTTATATCTTAAAGAAGAACAAGAAGAAAGTAAGTGMTTATAATTATTTACTTATATCATGACCTACCTAATTCAGTTAGTTCTGTTTTGTTTAATATTATTATATACTTATTATTTAATCATTATTTTATAATTACAAAAAGTTTAGAAACATTTTTATTTATTTATTTTTAAAAAGTTTTGAACCCCTTATTTAAATATAATTATACATTAAACAAAAATATTATTACTATTAATATTGTTCCTATTTAGTTATATTGTAATTTTTGCTTGTTTTTCTCATATTATCCTTTTTTCATGTTATAGTTACATACATTTACCCTATTATTTTTGTTATTGTTTACCWTTATGATATCTGCCCATATTTTTAATTAATAAAATCAAATAAACCATATACATTTATATTATTTATTAAACGAGTTAACTTATTTTGTTAAATTTTTAGTTAACATTTTATCATTTTATGCCATATTAGATATGTTATATGTATAACTTAAACAAAACCTTAATAAAATGTATATATTTTCAGAGCAAAGACGAGAGAGAAAGCGTCAGCTAGGAAAAGCACAAATTGGAGGTCCATTTGAATTATTAGATGGATCTAACAATATTGTAAAAAGTGAACAATTTTTGGGGAAGTGGATGCTTATATATTTTGGTTTCAGTCATTGTCCAGATATATGTCCTGATGAATTAGAAAAAATGGCATTAGTTGTAGATAATCTTGGTACCTACGTTATTAAATAAAACATTATTTTAATGATATTTTTATTAATCAGCAGCTTGCAAATTTTAGAAAAAGAAGAAATGAATACTGGCATTCAAGGCATTTTCATCACTGTAGACCCAGACAGAGATACTCCTAAAATTGTAGATAAATATATAAAGGAATTTTCTTCAAAATTCATTGGTTTAAGCGGTACTTCAGATCAAATAAAGCAAGTGTGTAAAAGATATAGAGTTTATTACAGCCCTGGAAAAAAAGACGTCGATAATGATTATATTGTAAGTTTGTGACCTCATATTTTATTATTATACTTTCATAATTAGTTATACATATATATTTGTATTCATCAATTCAGGTGGATCATACCATCATCATGTACTTGGTTAATCCAGAGGGTGAATTTGTGGATTATTTCGGACAAAACAAAACCGCTGATGAAATAGTAGAACACATTTTGTTACATATGTTTAAATTTAAACAAGAAAAAGGTTCATTGTTAAGCAGCACTTTAGAAAAGATAAATTCATTAAGTGGGAAAAAAATTGTTGCATCTTAAACTTTAAATTTAGATTTATGTTTAGACTAACTTCAGTTGCTGTTAATTGTTAAAATAATTTAAAATTAATATATTAATTTTAAAAGAGTTTTAGTGTCTATGTATTGTTTTTTAAGTACCTACTACAGATATTTGCAGAAGTTCTACAGATATTTATTATAAATAGAATATATTTGTAGCAAGTAATCAACTTTCATGGATCTTTTAATATTAGTCTTTACCCATAGTGGCCATAGTTGGTCAACAATGTTGAGTCCTATAGCTTTTACACTCCAGGCTAATATCACAGATTATATAAAATATAATCTGCTAATATCAACAAAAAAAAACCTAATATTTTGATTTTGAACCATAGACCATAGGTCTATGTTTTGAACAGATTTAAAATAATCTTCATTTTTCCTCCAGTCCCAGGATTGCTTGGAATAATAAACTAAATGTTTACATCTCACTAAGCCACGCCCCAAAGGTCATTGATTATTTTTCCATTTTGATTTTAATATTTTATTACGAAAAGTGGTACCTATACTTTAATACTAAAATTGTCGAAAATACTTATTATTTATACTCTTGTCTAGTAAAAACGCTAAGTAATTTGATGTGTGAAATTTGATATTCGAGTCAACCCTAATAACTTTAACCTATACTTAAATTGCACTGTTGTGTAAACACAATACAGTTTTTCATATAATAATAAAGAAATACAGTTGAACTAAATAGTCTCAATACAGCCTTGTAGTGTTCCTACGTCCTAATAATTAATATTGGAGTTTTGGTTAAATTTTTGTAAAATTAATCCTTTTAAGGTAAAGTATGGATTAATTATTATTTTAATATACAATTATTACTTTGTACAATGACGTGCCCTATTGGYCTTTTACGACATTTCGCGCTAAATCGCCTGATTGCCAGCGATCTAGTCTTAGGCATAGTGGACACTTCGGCGATACCTGCAACTGCCCAACACCGGTTGTTCTAACATTTTTTCACAAATATATTTTTATTATTTTTAAATATATATGAACTGCCAACGTCACATGCATATTACCCGGCCATCAAATTTTTCATTGGCATCGCGCGTAATTTGCGCCGAYCAACTGTATTTACGCAGCGAGTATAAAAATATTGAATGTGTTGATAATTTTATTTAGCAATGATTTACTGAAGTTGGGTAGGTAATTGGTATAATTTGGTAGCTTGAATTGATAGAAAATTATGTGCGAGATTTAAACATATTATTTCGAGTTTGTTTTTTTTTTATTTACTATCGTTGGCAACATTAGAAAATAATTTAACAATTTTGATTATTTGTTAAAAAATACAACTTACAAGATAATTGTGAAATACTAATTTGAACTTTAAACACTTTCTGATATAATATATTATGTGATTTTTGTTTCAATAATTATATTAATAATAAATTAATATTAATCGGCTTTATTTTATGATTGTTATTATATAATTCATTAAATTAGGTATATTGCTATATGCTATATATAGCCAATTTTAGATTTTGAAATGCTAAATGCACGCAAAATTGTATAATAGTCTGAAATCGCAGGGATGAAGGGGAAAAAGGAACAGGAATCAGAAACAACCGAGAATGTATGTCGTGATTTCATGCGCAATGTGTGCAATAGAGGCAAATCTTGCAAATTTTTTCATCCTCCTGTCGAAGAGGATAAGCGCAAATATGTATTTTGCCATGACTTTCAAAATGGCAAGTGTAGTCGTCATGACTGTCGGTTCATTCATTGTTCTCGTGAGGATGAGGAGTATTATAATCGRACCGGACGCATGGCACCAGAAGTGTTGAGGACAATTGATATAGCTGGTGCACCTCCTTCTGATGATATACCTATTTGTAAAGATTATTTAAAAGGCAATTGCCATCGTAGCCAAGCTCATTGTAAATTTCGTCATGTAGATCAACCACTTGATGTACCTGTTAGAGGTCCTAATGGTCCTTTCAACTCACCCCAGCCAGCGATGCCACCTAACTTCGGTAATGAGTTGTTCCGCAGACGCTTTGATTATGATGAAGAGCCCGATCCCAAGCGTAGGCGCTACGAATTTGACAACAGAATGCCGCTAGGGCGCCCATTCCCCAATCGCGACATGGACTTTTCCGCGCCACCTGGGCCTGTGCATCAACAGCCATATTGGTTGTTGCAAGATGAGGTGGAAATGTTGCGCAAGCGTGTGGCTGAGTTGAAAAAGCGCAATGAGGAATTGCAAGCGACTAATGAATTCTTGTTGGAGCAAAACGCACAGCTGCGCATAAATGAACAAGCGCCCCTGCGCAGCACCCAGCAAATGGTGAGCGCTATACGCACCGTGACCACAGTCCCAGTCAGCTTGGCGGCGGTGGCTGCGGCCGGCACTCCCGTGTCCATAGCTACCGTCTCCATGGCTCCAATTCAGATACCACCTGTTGTATCTGGATCTGGCCCGCCGCCCCTGCCGCAGCCAACTAACTCGCAGCCTTTGGTATCTTATCCTATTGGCAGATCGACATCGGCCCAACACTATATTCAACCGTAGGTATGTTCCTACCGTTAATTTTTTTATTTCTCACAAATCTCGATTTGCTTATTTTATGTTTAYATGACAATATTAGCATGGTTGAACTTCCCTTATTATTTTTATGTTTAATATTAGTTTGTGTTATGTCTTCTAGTCTGAACAATTGAATTATTCACCCTTTTGGTGCAAAACTCGAGGGATTTTATAAGCAGCATTTATTTAGGACATCTGTTTCATCTTGGCAGGGGCGTGGGCATGGCAGTCAATAACTGCCTAGATGAAATGGACTGACTTGTTAAACATTATTTATACCATTTCTATTAACAGTTTTGTGTTTGGATTGTTTCAGTTTATGAACCGTGAAAATKGAAATGTTGCTAATAAGAATTTGACATTAACAAAACAAAGAATGTACAATATATGGTTTAATAATAGAATGTAAGAAACCATTTTTTATACAATTTGAGTACCACTATATTTCTGATGTTAAAAAGTTAAATCTCTCTTAATTGTGAAATGTATAAATTTAATAAAAAAATAAGTTATTTCATACTAGTTTAATATTTCATTTTCTAAAGCTATTAGTATTTTTATTATAAACCTCAAAGTTTTTTGGTTATCAACACTATTTTAATTGCTATCTGTACAAATCAGAAGTTTATTCCTAACATTATATTAAAGTAACATCATTGATTTTCTTATCATAATATATTGTTTGTTTATGGTGAAGGTCCTTGAAATCAATCATTGAATTACAGTATATTGGTTTAATGTAAATAAAATATTTAGTAGAAAGGAAAAATTGTCGTTCTGACTACTGACTTATATTTTATTTTTCTCTTTAATTTATATTTATTTTATTGAAAAAATTTAACTTTTCATGTAAATAAGTAATTAACTTTTCTAATACTATACTAAAATAATGGTTATGTGTAATATTATAAATGTTCCATATCTGAGTAATACAATTTCATTAATTTGTACATTTTTGAACAGATAAACTCAAAGATTATCTCATTTCCATTGATAATTAATTAATTTTATATTGTGTCAGGTTTTTAATATTAATAATAMATATTATAGGTAATTGGCATTACCAATTTTGTGAGTTGTGAAAAAATTGAATAGCCAATGTGTTCTTTTTTTTCTACTTCAACATACAATATACATTTTTTTTCGTCTCATGTTATTTTTATATATAAATCAACAATTTTGTTGCTAAATCATCATGTTCGTATTATATAAATTATAATTTAAATCTATTGAGTAGATTATAAATGTAACTAGTCTTTTAATTTATGTTATAGTCAAGTTATATAGAATATTATATAATATATTTTAAAATTATTTTCAGTGCATTAAAAAAATAAATATATACATATTATTAATGTATATTAACATTTTGAACTTTAAATAATCATTGATGTAATTTATGTTTTATATTAGTATTTCTATATAATATACAATACCATACACGCTTTATTTTTCCAATTTATTTATTTTATAAAAATGATATAGTTTTCTATGTGCCAYACGTTACAACATTTTAATGTTATAAAAAAGTTGGAAATATGTGTATGTCAATTGTGACACATTTATCCTTTCAACAATGTAATTTTCTACAAATTTTAATAATATACTAACAAAGGGATGGCCTTGGATAGATAAAGTAATGTTTATTTTTTTCACAAAACTAAATATTTATATAAATATGAAAAAAAAATACAACATAACTATAGTTTTTATTTTTGTAGTTGATGATTTTTAATGATTTAAAGACATTTTTCTATTTTTAATTAGTTTTGTATTTAGTCTTTCAATGCAAGAACATTGTAAAGATAGAACTAAAAAGCTGATGTTTACAACTCAAATAACAGTATTCTGTTTGGTTAAAATAATAATATTATAAATTATAGCCCTAAATGTATTCTTGCTCATACCTGACAAAGGTATTGTTTATATAACATTATTCAAAGRAGAATTTTGTTTGTATAGCAAAATAACAAACACTCTACAATAAACATGCATGCATATTTTTTTAGTGTTATTCAATACGYCAGTCAACTATTAAATAAACATACAAAATATGTAAAAATTAGAGAAAAAAATGACCAGTTTTATACAAATTATTATAAAATAACATGATTTATAGGCATTTTAAATACTACTAACTACTTAGGAAGTAAACAATATATAACAAAATTTAATGATTTATATTAAGCCAATAGTAAATAGTTTACAAAAACCATAATAGAAGCTTAAGTCTAGTTTAATAATCAAATTATATCATTATTTTTCTTTATTCAATGCTTGGATAAAATCTTCTAGTTTCTCTTGAATTTGTTTGACTTTATCTAGAGTAACAAAGCTCATAAAAATATATATTCCAGACTTTAAAAAATATTAAAAGACTCACTGAGTTCTTCTACAAGAGTTACACGGCGACCAGTTAACAGTTTGCACTTCATCTCATTATCTTGGCTGTACTCGTCCAAAACTTCTTTTAACTCTTTATGTAAACGTCTCACTAATGTAAAATAAACAAATTAATATGTATAGTTTTAGTTTAATATTTTAAGAAAATATAACTTATAATATATTATTACATTCTCTATTGGTAATCTGTTGTCTCAAGACGTTGGCCGTTACTTTGATCATACGTGATACTCTCCAAAACATTTCAATATCATAAAATTCATTCTAAACATATCAATTTTAGTTTTATAATGTATGTCACGCACATATAATTATGAAACCATTCTTTTCATAACTTTAGATATTATCCATATGGTGAATAAGATATATTATATTGATGCAAGTGGTGATTTTGTTTAAATCTATCTTTCATGTTTATGAATTATTCAGTATTATACTTGATTAATAATTATTAATGAACATATATAAATATAAATTTTATAAAAAGAATAGTTTAACTAAATGAATATAACATTTACGCATGGTATATTAGTATTTTATTGAGTAACAAAATAGAGATAAATTTGAATTCATTTTCTTTTATATACATAAAATTAAATTTTTTTTTAAATTACGTAAATAATATTATGTTTTTAAATGTATACCTGTAAGCCATTTGATTGTTGATAGAGACAAAATTGGTTTTTAATAATTTGGGCATTTTGTAAAGCTGTTTTGAAATAATGACGCCTATACACTAAATACCACGTTTGCCATATATCATCAAGTTCACAAGGTGTTCCATTTTTTTGTTTTAAATTGTTGCTTATGGTTATTTGTTCGTCTTTACTTAACAAATTACTATGGGTCTAAACACAAAAATCAAGCATAAAAATGGCAATTAATTTAAGAATAGTATTAAAATAATTTAATTACAGGATTTGAGTGCAATAAATTTTCCAGTTCGTATTTAATATTATTTCTTTTAGTTTGTTCRTCTGTAGAACTTTGCCAGTAAAACCATTTTTCATAATTAGAAGGGCCCACCATTTCTTTTAGTAAACCATCAGTTATCTATACAAAATAAATTAAATAACATTAATATAGACTAATGAAAATAATAGAAATCAATTGTTTACTTTTAAATTATTTTCCAAGGTGCTGATAAAAAATTGGGCAGCTTGTTCCCAATTATGTTTATCTTTTATACACCTGTCTTCTAAGGTGTTCAATTGAATCACTCGCAACATTTCTAATGCCTGTTAAAATGATTTAAATTGTCTCATTAATTCATAATAGCAGTTTTACAAATCAGTAATAATACCTTATCTTCCCAAGAGTGCCTTTTTAATGCTTCATCAATAACAGCTATTTTTAAAGTTTCTAAAATTTCGTCGGAAGCTTGAAGTTTTTGGTTTTGGTTTTGGTTTTCTTCAAATAGAGTTTTGAACATATCTTTTAACACAACCCAACCTATATTAATTGATTTTCTGGGTAACTGCTCTTCAGCCCACTGCTTTAATTTGATATCAACCATTGTATTGAAACTTGCTATAAAGTAATATCAAATATAAATTTAAAATTGTATATTTTAATTATCATCATTACCAGTGCTGTTTGTTTGATTCACTGAATAACCTGCAGGCAAGTAGATATTTTCAATTATATAGTGAGAAATACCATTCCAAAGTTCAGCACTAAGTTTTTCTTCCCAAGCGTTGACTGACACAAGACTAAGATTCACTACTTCATTTAGCACTTCTCCTCGAGCTTTTTCAAACAACTCGTCTCTGTCCAGTTCCAAATACCTAGAATGGTTGATATCAAGAATGTTATAATATCTGTCTAAAAGACTTCTAGAGTTGTATGAGATTTATAATAGCATGTTAAAAACCTTGGAAAATTATTTTTCCATTCAGTTTCCAAATTGTATCTAGTTGCTTTAAAAGAATCTGCTTGTTGTTCCACTGTTTCACGAACCATTTTCCAAAAGCAATCAGAAACAGCCATGCTCAAGTTGCGTGTTGTCAATTGTGATGAAATACCAATGGACTCTCTGTAAGACAGCAACAAAAATCAATGAAGATAAATTTCTCAATGTATTATAATGTATTATATTACCTAAATAGTTTAGAATTTCTAAAAAAATTTTCTTCATATTCCTTTATGCTATCAATACTATCATTTTGATTGCCTTTGCCAGTAATAACGGCAAAGTATCCCAATGCTTTCATGGGAAATAGACTACCACTAAGTATTTTATTAACCTAAAAGTAAGAAAATTTAAATTTAAATAAGAATACTGAACATTTTGATTCAAATGACAAAATACTCCTTTACATACACGGTCTGCATTGGCCAGGTTTTTTTCAGCCAAATCAACTTTAGTTAATACTAATATAGTACGCCGGCCATGTGGATCAATTTGGGATACCAAATCTGTAACATTGCTTCTTTCTGCATCTACAGATCCATCTTGAATACAGAGAATTATAGCATTTGGATTAGACATATATGCTGTTGACATCTGACGAATACATTCTCGTGTGTCAGGTGCCATGCCTTGGGTTACACTCTGATAAATAAAATCCATATAAAATTAATAGCCTACTATTATGTAATGGCAGTTTTAACTTACGCTAATGATTCCTGGTAGATCGACAAGCACCATTCGTTGAAGACCTGGGCCACGCACTGTCATTGAAATAACTTCATTACTTACAGAATTTCCACGGCTTACAGTGTTTTTCATTCTTGCCTCTACCTTTTATAAAGTTTAGGATTACAGTGAACACATACTAATAATATGTGTGATTAGACAAGAAGGAATCTTACTTCTTTCCTGAGTTCAGCTAAYTCGGATTCTTTGGTTAAATCAAATTCTCTAGCACTATCTTTAAACTGTGCTACATGATATGGACCTTCACTTAATGTCACTTTAACAGGGGCTCTAGTCATCATTTCTCCAGCACCCCTAAAAAACAAGATATCAATGCAAAATATTTTTATTACATTAAAACTTATATA